GTCAGGGCTCCCCTTGCTCACACTCCCTCCACCGAGCTCCTGCCTCTGCCAAAAACCTCATTAAGAGGACAAATTCCGGAGCAGAGAGTGGCAGGGAGTGTGCCCTTGGGGCAGCTGAAAAAGCAGGGGCAACCCGGCTGTCCCATCCCGGCCCCCCCCGCCCCCTGCTCAGGGGGAGCAGCCACCTAAAGATCTACCCCGACACGCACAGATACAGGTACTCACACACCCACGGGGGACGGGGATATACGGTTTCTGAAAATTTCCGGTGGCCCGTGGGCACGGCAGATCATACAGTCGCCCTGGGTCCCCCTTCCCGGGCACGCAGCTCCTCCCTGCTGCCCGCTGGCACCGGGCTGGCACCCACCGCCGGGGGGGTGCTCACAGAGCCGCGTGGCGGGGGGCACCAAAAGGCTCACCTCCATTTCCAACCCCACCTCTTCCCTCTGGCTGCACCGGCTGCAGAACCCCATGCTGGACACTGACCCCCATCCCCACAGCCCGAGCGGGGCAGTTATGGGGCAGACCCATTCCTTCGGCCTCGGGCTCGGCCGTCACCTCTCTATCTATTCCCTTAGCACATTTACGGGCCAATTTTTTAATAACAGGGTTTTTCTGTTTGTCATTAAGACTCTGCTTCAACTCCCATGGACCTCACCCCTGCTGACCTGCACATCGCCCGGGGACCAGGTCATCCTCCCCAAAAAGCCAGAGCTGCACAGTAACTGTACATTTTGGGCTGGTTTACCCAGAATTAGTGTGAGTGAGTGATGGCTGGTGTAGGCAGGGAGGGCGGGGGGTACCTGCAGGTGGCACAGCCTCGATGATTAAGGGATTGGAGCATCTTCCTGATGAGGAAAGGCTGAGAGAGCTGGGACTCTTCAGCCTGGAGAAGAGAAGGCTGAGGGGAGACCTTATTAATGCTTATAAGTATCTAAAGGGTGGGCTGAAGGATGATGGAGCCAGACTCTTTTCAGTGGTTCCTAGTGACAGGATGAGGGGCAACGGGCACAAGTTGGAACATGGGAAGTTCCACTCAAATATGAGGAAGAACTTCTTTAGGGTTAGGGTGCCAGAGCCCTGGAACAGGCTGCCCAGGGAGGGTGTGGAGTCCCCTTCTCTGGAGATCTTCAAGACCCGCCTGGATGCTCCTGAGTGATGTGCTCTGGGCAACCCTGCTTTGGCAGGGGAGCTGGACTGGATGATCTCTAGAAGGTCCCTTCCAACTCCAACAATTCCATGATTCCGTTACCTGCTGCAGTCCCCAAGAACTGCAACGATACGACATCTCCTAATGGGGCGCTTGGCTGTTGTGATGATATATAAGTACATAGGTGATTAGCTGGTAATGTTAATTAGGGCTGGTCAGAGCTTGCACCAACAGTGGTGGGAAGGGCAGGGTGCCAGCAGAGCCATGGGGCTCCCCCAAACAGCCCGCCGAGGGACAGCCCTAGGTGACAAAAGACTGGGTGGCACGGCCCAGGGGAGGGGACACCTCTGTCTGTCTGGGGGACGCTGCGCTGTCCTCACGTCCCCGTTCACAGCCTGTGGCCGGCAGCCTCCCCAAACCCTTGGGGCATCCTGAATTTGAGCCAAAACCTCCCCTTCCTCCTCCTCCCCCCGCCACGGCCAGCGCGACTGTATGATGCCAGCGCGACTGTACGATGCCAGCGCGACTGTACGATGCCACCGCCGGCCCCTCGCTGGTGCGGGGGGGGATTTTCAGAAACTATACCTATATATGCACACCCAGAGGTCGGGCCGTACCGGGTGCATATATACCGTGCTGGATGCAACCGGGTGGCAGAGCGGGGCCGGGGTGCTGGCGGCAGCCCCCCCCCCCCATGGCTGAGCGGGCACACGACACACACAGCGACAGGGGACGGGGTGGGAGAAGGAGGGAGGTGGGGGGGGGGACAAGGCACAATGAGGCGGGGATGGGAGGCGATGGAGGTGTGTGTTTGGGGGGGGGGGGGGGTTTCGGGGGCGGGGCCGGGGGGGAGGCCCACCCCGGGG